GAGCAAGACCGGAATCCTAAATGGAAGGCACTTCATCTTCCAATTGGGGATTGAACTCCACGGAACTCTTAGAGGCAAGAAAGGTACCGAGTATTATAGAAGCTGAAGATGAATCCTCACCCAACAGCAGCCAAAGAGCATCAGATTGCTCCCTGCTTCCAGGCATCAGGAGTCAAGCCCGGGCCCTAGTGTGGCTTACTAGCCACAGTCTCCAAGAAGAAAGTGCTACCTGCTCTCTAAGTACCAGAAGTCATGAAAAACGAAGCAGGTTTTCCAGCCACTGGGCTTCACGGTCGGTTCACTCTGGATAGCCCTGCATGCTGTTTCCATGGAGTTGCTCCTTCTCTGGCGCCAGTGATGCCAGCTCCAGCAAAGGAGAAGTGCTCTGAAGAGCTCACAGAAGGGCAACCTAGCAACCTACCCTTCAGCCAGGAAATGAAAGAGCCATAATCAAGGGCAGAGAGCTGCAGTGTGGGGGTTAGCTCAAAATGTGTTGCATTTCTCACTCTTCTTTCTCAAGCATGAGTGCAAGGAGGAAGATGTAAAGAAAGACTTGCGGAGAATGGGTCTTAACTATTTGGGGCACACAGACCCATTTGAAAATTTGCCAAGCTATGGACTCAGAAAAATGCACACAGACCAAATTCCCTGCATAGAATTTTAAAAGGAAGCCCAGGTAGGAATTGCTGCCCTTGGAGTGATGACCCACTGTAATTCAAATGTGGGCAGATACACTGATGGCAGGCCACTCACTTACTTACATATCACCCTTAGCTTGATATGGTATTTGTCACAGTGGCTCACAAACCTCTCTTCAACTCAGAATCAGCCTCTATTATGGTTATACCAATCACCTTTTTCATCCCTGGTCCTACTAAGTCAAAACTCTCCCTTCTTACCTTCACCCCTCTTTCAGTTCCCAGCAACGTGCATTTCTGTCAAGTTTTCCAAAATGATTTTTCGGCAATGAGTCTTGTTCCCATACTTTCATTAATAATGTAGGCTCTGGATCCAGATTTGGGGTCTAAATGTGAGCATCTCCTCCTAATTGCAGGCAAGCCATTTATCTCTCTGAGCCTGGTCTCTTGTGATTAGAAAGGGCTAAAGAAATGCTATTTTCCTCAAGGGGAAGCCTGCTGTAATGCAAACAGATGTAAAGGGAAAGAAAAGTGACTCCCTGCACAATTGGGTACCACAAAGGCTGCCTTCTTCTGGCCCTTGCCGGTACTGCCTACACACTGCTCCCTCAGTACTGCCTAGCACGCAGCCTGCTCTCTTCAGTTGGTTTGAGACCATCTAGGTTTAAAACAACAACAACAACAACAACTCTGTAGGCAGTGTAGCAGGGCAGGGTTGGCATCCAGGGAACAACAGCCTGGAGTGCAAACTCGGGTGTTGCTACTCTGTTGTTGCATTATATGGGACAGCACACCTGAGCTCTCTGGAGCTCAATTTGCCAATCTATAAAATGCAGCTATGAGTCTTTGCTCACTAATTCTGTTTGAGTCCTCTACTGGTTCTCCCATCCTTGCTCCGGCTTTTCTCCAACAACCTGTGATCTGAGGGCAGACAGGAGTGTTTCCGAGGGGCAGCTTTCTTGGATGTGGGCTCATAGCTCTGCACTTCGGAGCCACACGGCCTGGGAGCTTTACATCTCTTCTCGGTTGAATGGGCAAACCGTGACCTCTCTCACATCCGTATGCTGGTTAGAACAAATGCAATGCCCTTGCCAGCAGATGCATTCGCATACAGAAAGCGCTTGCTAAAGGCTCCCCCCCACCACCACCACCACTCTCCTCCCTTCTCCCCTATACAAAGGTGAGGAACTCTCATTGTTCACTTGCTCTCTGTCCCACCTCGTGTTTAAGGCATCCGGTCTCAAAGCGCAGAGAGGCGCCAAGGCGGAAGGCGATAGAGAGAAGGGGAAGCGAAGGGGAAACGCAGCAAACTCACGGGATAAAATGTAAACGGGCCGCGATCGGTGCGTCCGAGCTGCACTTGACGCCGCCGAGCCGGCTCCCGCGCTGTCTGCCGCAGCCGCTGCAGGCCGGCTCCCCCCACCTCGCGCTAGTATTAGCACCGGGGGCCGGAGGCTGCGCGCCCGGCTGCCCCTGCAGCCTGCTGATTGGCCGCAGCGACCTGCTCGTCACGCTCTTTTGTCTCAATGGGCAAAGGCTAAAAGCAGCCGCGGCTGCTTGGGAGGACCCAAATGGAGGGTGGGGGCAGCCCCGGCTGCCTTGGGAACCGCGCTTTCTTCCCAGCTAGACCTCGCCACCCAGCGATGCGAAGCTGCTGGTTCGCTCTGGCAGCCGCGGGTTGCTCGTTGGTGGGGGAGGCGCCATCCTTTCCCCCCTGCAGGGCCGACCGGAAAGTGAAACCTAGCTTTTGGTGACAGCTGGAAGCATCCGCTTCCCACCTGTGGTGTTCAGGTAAATGAAAGAGGGTGCGGTTTGGCCGGTGCTGGCCCCGTGGAGGGGAGAACGCCATCTGTCCCGGGAGGCTCCTGGCTGGGAGAATAGATAACTAAGGCAGGAAAGGAGACTCCCGAGGCCAGGCTGCACGCAGGAGGTGTGGTACACCTGGATGTTACTAACTTGGTAGGTTTTTTCCCTGGGTGCTAGGACTGGGGCTGAGGTTGTAAGAAGGGAGGGTATTTTCAGGGAGATGGCCAGAGTCAGAAGAGGAGAATTGCAAGCTATCTTGCTTTGAACCCTCCTTTGCGTCTCCTCATCTATTCCTGGGAGGAAACATGATGGAGGGGGCAGACGGCAGGGGGCTTTCAACTTCTGCTCCCTTTCTTCATGATAGACCATCAAAACCAAATCTGAACTTGAATTTGTGGGGCTGATTGCAGAACTAGTAGGCTGATGGTTCCCCGCAGGCCATGTAATGCAAGGGGGAGGAGGGCCCCGCCTTCGGCATCCAAAAGGCAGCAGAAGAAATTTCCCACCTGGCAACAGGAAGTATCAGGATGACTGAGGCTTGGCTTCTAAGACTTCTGACCCTCTCCTCTCCACTCCTTCCCCCTGTCTATGCTGTGGCAGTCTGGAAGTCATGAGTACCCAGATCTGCCATCTCCTATGCAGAGTTTGGAAGATATTCCTGGGGGCAAATTTGTTCATGCAGGCACCTGTTGCAGAAGCCAACAGTATAACAAAGGGCAGGGCTAGTTCCAGAGCTCCTGTAAGTGTCCAAGAAGTAACAGTGGAAGCCTGGAGAAGGAACTGTGATTCAGATCTCAGATAGTGAGGTTAATGGAGATCATATGTACATACATACGTATTACAGAGAGAAAGATAGTTAGAGAAAAATAGATAGATAGATTTTCCATCTGCTGACTCACTCCCCAAATGGCCATACAGCAAGAGCTGAGGTGGTCTGAAGCCAGGAACCTCTTCCAGATTTCCCACTTGGGTGCAGGGTCCCAAGGACTTGAGCCAGGAGCCAGCCAGTGTGGCGAACACCGAGCCCGGTCACCAGAACAAATGCCAAGAGTCGAGAGTCGAGAGTGGATGCTTTGCAATCAAGCATTCAAGCATTTATTCAGGCAAGCACACACCAAACAGGATGGGGGAAGCCACCGAGAGTGCCTCTTGACTTCAGTCTCATGGAAGTCTGCTGGGCCTTTGGCTCCGGCCTCGTGGGAGCCTGCAAGTTCGAGTGGAAGCCCAAGACCTTGGCTCCGGTCTCGTGGGAGCCTACTGGCTTCTCTGGCTCCGGCCTCGTGGGAGCCTGCAAGTTCGAGTGGAAGCCCAGGGGCTTTTGGCTCCGGTCTAGTGGGAGCCTGCTGGCTTCAGTGACTGAGACAAATGCATGGGTTTATATACAAATCCAGGGGCAAGACAGGCAGTTGTTCACAATGTTTTGATTGGTTATTACATGTTATCTATCAGTAACACTTGCTTTCTCTCAGTTCTAAGAAAACATGCATATTAATTCTCAAAACATACATATTCATTAATATACAATTATTTCTTCTTTATCATTTCTACCATGACATGCTTACGTACTTTGTGGTTTCTTGACAAAGGTGATAAGGGGAGGGCTTGTGCACCTGAGTCTCTTGACAGGAGTGATAGGAGAGGAGGCCCCATTTCACCAGTAGTTTAGGAAGATGGAGTCACCTTTGTTAAAAGACTCTAACATACATACTATATCCATTATTAAGTCACAGCATAACTTGCAAAGGAGGTCTATTATTGCAGCTATTTCTGGATCATCAATTTCTGATAAAACTATAACAATATTGAGGATACAATTAAGATTATTAATAGTACTCCAACCCATATTTCCCAAAGCTCCATTTTTATTTATGGTCATGTTTTGCTGGAGCAATGTAAATGTGAAGTACTTAAAGTCAGACTGTTCCTATCAGCCAGGTGGAGGGTCCTAAGACTGAGTCATCCTCTACGGCTTTCCCAAGCCTCAGGCAGGGAAATGAATGGGAAGTGGGGTAGCCAGGATACAAGCCTGCACCCATATGAGATGCAGGTGATCGCAGAAAGAGGATTACCTAGTTGAGCCATCGTGCCTACCTGGTTAATAGAGATTTTAACAGGAATTCCTAAGCTGCACACGAATGAGCCCTATTTTGACAGCCTGCTAGTGGCTTTAAACCTATAATCCTACATACCAGCTGCTGCACCTGCTGAAAGGCAGCCAGGAGGGGCTGGATGTGGCTCAGAAAAAACAGGCTGCCAGCGCAGATACCTGCTAGCTCTGGGACATTGTAATTGCCAATTTCCTGCAGAATTTCTTCTGGTAGAAGGCACTACAAAATGTGTTGTAAGGGCATCAAGAGGGTGGAGAGTGTGATAACAAAATGCTCTCTGCAGCCCACTACTTTACTGACCATTCTGTTTGTTTGTTTGTTTGTTTGTTTTACAGTTTCTACTAAAATAGGAGAAAGTCACAGCCCAGGAACTTTGCTTTGGAGATTTCTGCAGATTAGGCTTTTTGTAGCAAGCCTAATATATGCAGATACCCTATTCTGATTACTAATGGCTAGCCTGGGGCAGGGTTGGAGGGTGGGGCAGTGGCTGAGTAACTGCCTGTTTCAGTTAGCACCCTTGTTACCTTGGGCCCATTCCATGCTGAGGTCGCTGGGGCAAAGTCTCAGTCCTTCAACGGCCAGCATGGCCCAGAAAAAAACATGAAGCTGTTCTTGGGGGGTGGGGGCGATGCCAGCCCAGGGGAAGGAAATCTTTGAAAAGTGGCTGATCCAGGTCAATGGGGTCCTGTCAGATTGGGATATGTCTGAGGAAGAGAAGCTCAAGTGCATGACAAAAACTCTTAGGAGCCCTGCCTGGGAGGTGATACAACATCTTCAGGCAGCCAATCCCAACTTCGGGGTAGCCAATTTCTTGTGGGCCATGAAATTGGTGTTTGGGGAATCTGAAAGCAGTATGACAGCCTGTGGCAAATTTTTTAACACCCTGCAGGTGCAGGGGGGAGAAAACTTCGCTTTACATGATCTGTTTAGAGGTGCAGCTACAGAATGCCAATTAGACAAGCATCCTAGCTCAGAAAGAAGCTAACCAGATGCACCTGCACTAGCTCCTTTCAGGGGCTGAACTGAACAGGGACCTGCGGCACAGGCTTAAGCATCTCCTCAGGATTTATGCAAACGATCAGGAGCAGCTTCCCAATTTCCTGGAGTTAATCCGGATATTAGGGAGGAAGATGAGTGGGTTGACATGCCAAAGTGGCCCAGAAAATCTGAGCCAGTAATGGAGAGGGCAGCCAGCCCTGGGGCATTTCAGGGCCCCCAAGCAATAGTGAGTGGCAGTGTTAATTGCCACTGCAATGTGATAGAGATAGAGGATAGCCTCAATGATGACTTAGATGAAGGCTTGATCCTAGTGGAACCTAGGGACTCTCCACTTTAATTCTCCCTTCAGAGACCGAACCCCAGGATCCAGTGTTAGTGGTTATTTCCCCTGACTATTCCAGGGCTCACTCTTTCCACCAATCACATGGCAGGCAAACGGATGGAGGGTCGGCTTCTAACTGTGTGAATTAATCCATACAGCAGTTCTTTTTTGGGGAAGAGAGTTTCAGTAGAGGGGAACGGCCTATCCTTTGTCCCTGCTACCTACCTACCACCTCTGCCTGCCAATTTTGCGTGTATATGTAATTAAGGGTTTTATTCTGTTTATGGAAAGACTGTGTGAAATTCTGCAAAACCAAAGAATACCACGTATCAACTAAAAATGACCTGAAACACCTCACTCTTACATAAATAAACACTGCCAGCCCTTTGGTGAATGCCTTTTTAGATTCTTTTCTATGCCCATGTAACCAGATAGATATATCTATAGAGAAAAGTAATCACATATAAATGTTCCTCCATACTGTGTATTTTTTTTTACCAAACTCTATCTTGTGATATGTTAATGAATATATAATCATCTAATGTGTGTAATGCAATATTTATCAAAAGAAAACACAAATAATATAAAATACAGCCTTTTTTAAAAAGATGTATTTAGTTTTTATTTGAAGGGTAGATTTACAGAGAGGAGAGGCAGAGAGAGAGAGATCTTTCATCTACTGTTTCACTCCCCAAATTGCTATAGTGATCAAAGCTGAGTCAATATGAAGCCAGCTTCCTAGAAATTTCCCTTGGTCTACTCAGGTGGGCGCAGGAGCCCAACAACTTGGGCCATTCTCTGCTGCCTTCCCAGACCGTGAGTTTAAAGGGAACAGGTTATTCGGTGAACTGGGCATTTGGTCAGCCTTATTTACAGATGAAGGATTCTGAAGTGAACCTCTCTCAGAGTGTCTTATCACAACTGACCCCTTAGATACAGAGCCAACTTGTTCAGCAATGGTGGACCACATTCAAGCATTTTCCTCTTGCAGGTATCTTGAGAAATTTGACGGAAAAGACAGAACTTGTGGGTTTCAAAGGCTCCATTCACATTCAAGTTGGAAAGATGCATCTCCTATTCATATTTTATATCCTGTCCTCCAACTAGAAGTGAGAGAAGATGATGTATTCCTTCTGTATCCGAGGATCCCTTGTTCTTAGTAACTACATCATTCCTGATGCTCATGAATATGAACACGACAGAGTTCTGTCATGTGTGGGGGAGAGAAATAAATGTAGGCCTGAGGAACTTGAAGGAACCTCTCAGGAATGACATATCAGCTCCACTTGGGCCAAGAAGACACAGTGAGCAACCATGGGAGCTGGTACTTTAGAGAGGAATCCTGGGGCTCTATGGGATGGGAGGAAGGGGAGAGCACAGCATGACCTGACTACAAGACTCACATGGGAAGTGACAAGGATGGGAAGCCTGGTAGGAATCACAGACCACAGATTTTGTATGCAACCCTGGGCCTTGTGGTCCCAGAGAGGCAGGGCTAATGGGACTCAAATGATACTAGCAGGGATTATACTAGCCTGCTCAACAGCGACAAAGGGAATGTGGGCTGGGTGCCAGAGGAGGAGACACAGGCAAGGCAACAGCCCAGTGAGCCCTTCTGGGCTGTCACATCTAGCCCTGGAGCCCAGAACCTTCCTGGAGGCCTTCTCCTTCCAGAATCACTCCCAGCAGCTCTGCTCCCACCTGGCTTCTTGCTGCCTCTCCATGCAAACTCCCACAATCTCACAGCACCCCCCTTCTCCCAGAGTTACACTCAGGGCAAGGAGCAGGTCCGGGGGCTCAGGAAGCGAGGAGGCTCAGCCTCTGGTGTTCTGCCCATCACCAGCTCCCTCCTGCCACTCCATGTTGTCCTGAAGCTTCAGTCTCTTTGACTTTCTTGGCCCCAGGGAGGCTGAGAGGACTGCTCTGCCTGTGACCGTTTCATGAATCAGTGAGCAGGCATCAGCACTTGGGAAGCCCATGCCTTGCATCCTTCTGGGACACGCAATAGCCCCTGGTGGCCTCCTCCATCTCCCTAGTAACAAATGAGGCCTCTCCCCCACACCCAGGCAGGAGGCAGCTCAACTCAGTTACTTAATTGAAGGCCCCAACACTATCAGGGCTTCAATGGGGTTATTGGCCTAGACTTCTCCCCAGTTCCTAAATGTATCCAGGGAAAAGATCCGCCCACTCATCTGTCCCAGATGAAACAGTCATTACACTTCCTGTTCATCTCTAATCTGTTGAAATACATCCAACAGGATAGCTGAAACAGCAGAGGCCTGTGGGATCCTGTTGAGAAGAGGCTCCAGGAAAATCCCATTGAATGGTGTATCTAGATGAACAGTTTATGCTGACATCACTTCTATGTGAATACCAAGAGGAATAAAAAGAGAAACAAATACTACACCTAGCCCCACCCTTGTTTTCACTCGAATTAGCTTGGAGGTTTGGTAGAAATGGGTGCTTGTAAAGCAGCTCTGTGATCCATCACTTTTTCTTCCCTCCATATGCTTTTCTGTGTCTTGTAAACTTGAAATCAGAATTTTATTTTACTAAGAAAGCTACAAAACTGATGCTTCTCAGTTCACCTGATGGGACACTGGTTTTTCCTTTATTTAAGAAGCATGTGCATATATGTTCCCTATTTGGAAGACAGGGAGGACTAAATGGAGTTATACAAAAAAGACTTTTAGAAAATGTGGAGTCTGCTACCTTTCACTTAATATAATCATGTTCTTTCTCCCTCCATTCTAATTCAGTGTTTAGAAATGAAAACTACTCTTTTGTCTGGTCTGGAGAAAGTAGACTTTGAGTGACCTCCTTTTGCATTATCATGCTCCTTCTTCGTAGTGTTTTCCCTTGTTTCCATGACACCCGTCTCAAGGCTTCCCCTCTCTCAGATTTTTGCATTGCTAGTACTCAATCTCCGGTGATTGGTTTTCTTTCTCTTGCCAATTCTCTCCCAACAATGATAAAAAATTTAAATCATTATAACTGTGACTTATTAACAACTTACTATGTGCCTGCATTAAGCTTATTATATGACATCATGTATCAGTCCCGTTAAATCCATTATTACCATTTTAAACTCTCATAGCAATTCCTCTAAGATAGAACTATTGCATTCTGTTTGTAATTTATTATTGATGCTAGTTTAATTACTATTATTTGGCATACATTTTGGAATGGGAACTAGTCTGCTAAGTTAGGAAACCTACTTAGAGTCATGGAGCTAGTGATGCAGCTAAGGATGAAACACTTTACTGCCCCCAAAAGCCTGTGTTCTGTTCTTGGGTTGGCTTCTGTGCAGGGTACACTGTGATGTAGGCTGTTATGATGATATGCATAGCATGCATAAGAAAACTGATACTGACAGCCATAATTAACTGAATTGTCACAGCAGCAAGTGGTTTGTATGTCACACACAAGACATTCATTTGAAAGAGGTGTTTTGTGTCTTTCTTTTTCTCCCCCACCCTTGTTGGAGCCATCCCCCTACCCTGCTGCCCAACAACTATTTGGTCTCCCCTTAAGAGAAACTGCATTAACTGAAGCCTCAGTCTCCTCAGTTCAAGTAGCATGTTTCTGGACTATGCTTTCACTTTCAGTGCAAATGATTGTTAATTTAGCATATGTAAAAGATAACAGAAGCCAGTGAGGAGTGGTGGGTGAAGGTTCAGTTAGAGGTGTTAGAGAGAACCTCATTACCTGACTGGAAAAATAGTCACTTTACTTTTTCTCATGATACTAAATGTGAATTCCAAGTACATTTGAGAGATAAGTGTAGGCAGCTGAGATATAAGTTTAGGCAGCTGTGTGCTAGTTCTTTAATATTTTCTTGCTATGAAAGTAATTAAAAGAATCTAATGGTCAAAAGCAATCTCTTTCAAAACCACAACAATTTTTTTTTATTAAATCTCTGATTAAAGAGGACTTTCTAGAGTTGTATGATTAAACAACATAGGAAAGAAGAACCCATGGTGGGATGTTGGCTCAGTATGCCACTTGCAAAGCTCAGTGCTGGTTCTAGTCCTGCCTCCTCTGCTTCTGATCCAACTTGCTGCTAATGTGCCTGAGAAATCACCCAAGGAAAGTTCAAGTATTTGGACCTCTACTACCTATGTGGGAGACCTGGATGGAGGTTCTGGCTCCTGACTTCACTCTGGCCCAGACTTAGATATTGCAGCCATTAAGGAGTGAATCAGCAGATGGAAGATATTTCACACTTTCTGTCTCTTTATATGTCTCTGTGTGTGCCCATCTCTGCCACTCTGCATTTCAAATAAATAAATATTTTTTTAAAAAAATGGAGGGCATAAATGAAACCAGTGATAATTCAGAAGACTGCATTAACGGAAATAAAATGTAAATATCAAGCAAAGAAATATTGGCAATAAATATGCAAAAGAAGGTAGGTCTGGCAGTGAATGAGAAAAATGCCAAGAGCAAATTTGTCTTTAGCTTAGACAACTGACATTTACTAAAGTCTTACAACGTGTCAGGCATATTCTAAGAGCTCTGCATGGCTTCACAATTCAGTTCATTCTTAGAGTAAGCCCTGAGATAGATGGTAATACCTCCAAATTCTAAATATATATATAAACAAAAGAGCAACAAATTACAGCTGAACACGTTATTATAATACAAACCATCACAAAACAAACAGGAAATACTGTACTTCCAGAAATTCCTACAAACCCCAGTTCCATTATGTCCTCTTTTCTCTCCTCAAAAGAAAACCATTCTCTTGAAATTTTTGGCTTTCTTTCTTTCTTTCTTTCCTTTTATTTTTCACTACAGGTACGAAAGCACTAAGAGTTTATGTCAATAAGTTCTTTTAAAAGATTGATTTTGGTCCAAAATATATCTTAAAGATTTATTTTTATTTTAAAGGCAGAGTGACAGACATAGAGAAAGAGAAATTCACTTTCCATCTGTAATTTCACCCTTCTACCCCTTAATAAATAACCTGTAACAGGCAGGGTTGGTTCTGGCTGAAGTCAGAACCTCAGGACTGAGTCTCACATGTGAGTGGCGGGGAGCCAAGTACCTAGGCCATCTTCTGATGGGTTCCCAGGCACATTAACAGAAAGCTGTCCTGGGAAAAGAGGAGGCACGGCTTGAATTCACACTCTTACGTGGGCATTGCAAGCAGTACCTTAATCTGGTGTGCCACATGTGGCTCAGTGCAAAAATTTTTTGAATCCATACATATCTTTTTCACAATATGAATTTCTGTATACATTTTAAAAGATCCACCACACCCATGGATTTGGCCGTTTTTTTGCATCAAGATAAGTGCTTTTAAAGAAGATTTCATTTATTATTTATTTGGAAGGTAGAGTTGTAGCAAGAGAGGGAGTGACAGAAAGATCTTAGACCCACTGGTTCACTCCCCATACTGCCACAATGTCCAGAGCTGGTCTAGTTCTAAGCCAAGAGCCAGAATCTTCGTGCAGGTCTCCCACATGGGTGGCAGGGACCCAAACAGTTGGCCAACTTATACCCACGATTATATTAGGGAACTGGATAGGGAGTGAAGCAGCCGAGACACAACAGGTATGCATATTGGATACTGGTGTCACTTTATCTGCTGTGCCACAATGCTGGACCTCCAACAAAATATTTTAATTCCACTTTCTATAAACTTTTTGAAGGACTTTGCTATAAGTTTGTTTAAACTTTGCATATACAGGACTACAATGCATGCATCCTTCTGTGTCTGGTTCTCTTCCCTTATAACTATGATTCTGATAGCCAGCATTGATTGTATTTAGCACTGGTTCATCCTCAGTGTTGCATTATTATACCATTCTATGAAATTATTTATTCATCCAACTGTTGAAGTGATTTGGTTTGTTTCTTGTTTGGGATATTATGAAAAAATTTTGCTATGAATATTTTTAAAGATTTATTTTCCTTTATTTGAATGGCAGAGTTACATAGAAAGAAGGAGAGAAAGAGAACGATCTTTTATCTCCTGGTTTATTCAACAAATGATCACAATCTCCAGAGCTAGAGCAGGCTAAAGCCAGGATCTGGGAGCTTCCCCCAGTTCTTCCATCTGGGTACAGGGGCCCAAACACTTGGACTATCTTCCTATGCTTTCCCAGGTGCATTAGCAGGGAGCTGGATCAGAAGTGGAGCAGCCAGAATGTGAATCAGCACACATGTGGGATGCCAATACTGCAGGTGGTGGCTTAATGACCTAGGCCACAACACCAGCCCCAAGTATATGTATTTTCAAGTTTACTAGATACTATGAATCTTCATACCAGTGTATCTCAATTCTCACTTTTACCATCAGTGTGTGAGTTTCTGTTGGGCCATGTCCTCATAAACACCTGACATTACCAAAAACACTTGGCAATTTTTGCCTCAATTTGTACAGCTTTTATTTACTTCAAAGCATTTGACTTTGTGTGCTAACCTATAAACACAATATTGCTTAAATTTCATTTTCTACATGTTATTGATGAAATATAGAAATGCAATTGTTCTATTGACACTAAATGCCAAGCATTTATTTTTCTAAACCTCTTAAACGTCTAATTTTAAAAAGACTTATTTATATATTTTCAAAGCAGTTGCAGGAAAATAGATCATTTTCTATCCACAGGTTTACTCCCCAAATGGCCACAGTGGTTAGCACTGGACCAAGCTGAAGCCAGGAGCCAACAGTTTCACTCGGGTTTCCTATGCAGATACAAGGGCCCAAGCACTTGCGCCAACTTCCATGGCCTTTCCAGATATATTTGCAGGGAAATGAATTGAGAGCAGAGATACTGGAATTGTGGCACAAATACCAAATGTAGGTATCACAGTCACCAACTTAATGGCGCACCACCTCGTTGCTCCCATAATTTTAATCTTAAACTGCCTTTGGATT